GTCCCATATATGTCAACTGAGGTTGCTTATTTGAAAGTAAGTCCCACTGAATTCAATGGAAAATCAATAAAACTTCAAAATAAACCTATTTGGGAATAAGCTGTAAATCTGTTGAATGCTTAAGCCTCTGCTAGCATTATCATTCCCTCAATAAACAAGAGAACAGATCGTGAGATAGAGATGCCAACAGAGCAATTAAAGATAACCAGGAGTGTGGGGGAAAATTGTGAGGTGGCACACACTAGTAAAACTGCCAGTTAATTGAAGAAGTCTAAGAGGCTATAATTAAGCATGAAAAAAGAGGGGAGAGGTATTTGCAGTTGATAAGGAAGGTGGTAACCAACAAAGAGCAGGGGGAGGGGGGCATGACATCAACAAGCATATCTAGATTTAAATGTAGCATGGTTGCCTGGAAGTAAACCCACTGAACTTAAAAAAAAAAAAAAAAACTGCATTGGACTACCCACCAACTGGAACAGATATTTCCAGTTTGACAATACGATCCTGGATCCTTAGTATATAGACAGTGATAGACAGTGATGTTCATTAATTCTGTGATTCTTTAGAAATAGGAATTAATTTATTTCCATATTTCAATAGTGTTGAAAAATAGTGTTCCTTTAACTTAAATGTGTTAAATTAAACTAGATTGAAACTTTTAGTTTAAGCTTTAATTGATTCATCTGCTGATTAAACTAATTAAAATTTGCAGTCTTACCAGGAATACTTCTCCTGTGATGGTTAAGACATGGAAATTCTCTGAATGGCTATTTAAATATGGCAAAACACACACACACACACACACACACACACAAAAGTGGACCCTGAATCCAGCCCACAGTCTCATAGGTTCAGACAATTCTAAAAGGCCTGCTAGAATAGAAAAGGCCTGCCTCTGAAAACATAAGAAGGAGAGAGCCAATCTAACCATCCTGGGAAGGGAGTTCCAGAGTCTTGGTGCAACCTCCATGAAGGCCCTCTTTCACATGTCTGTGAAGGAGGTAGGATCAAGAGAAGAACCTCTTTTGAAGATTTTACGGTGCAGACAGGCTTGTAGGGAAGAATTTGATCTTTCAAATAGCCTTGGTCTGAGCAAAGGAGCTATATGCTCCCTATTACCCAACCCAGTCACCAGTCTGGCAGTAGCACTCTGAACCAGCTAAAGTTTCTGAACACTCTTCACTAGTAGAACCACATAAGAGTGTGCCACAGTAATCTAAACAGGATATAACTAAGGTATGCATTACTTTCGCAAAATCAGGCATTTCTAGGAATGGGCACAACTGGCACACTACTTTTAACTGTGCAAATGCACTTTTGGCCACCACTGAAACGTGGACATCCAGGCTAAGTAATGAATATGAAATTATATCCAAATTGTGAACCTTTTTTCTTTAGGGGAAGTATTCTTTAGAGGATTCACAGGCTGAATCCTCTTCTTTGATCCACCTTCTGATTCACCAGCAGTACTTATGTCTTGTCTGGATTAAGCTTCAATTTGTCTGCCCTTATTTGGTCCATTGCTGCTGACAGACCCTGATTAGCACCAAAACAGCTTCCTTGGAATGAGATGGAAAGGAGAAGTAAATTTGGATGTCATCAGCATACTGGTAACACTGAGACCAGAACTTCAGACAACCTTTCCCAACATAGATGTTAAACAGCAGAACAGAACAGAACCCTGAGGAACACCAAAGGTCCATGACTTGGCAGGGACGGGAGTTCCCAGAACTGCCTTCAAGAAGGAAGGGAGCCACTGTAAGACTAAGCCTCCACTTCCCATCCCAATGATTCAGCTGAGAAGGATCCATGTCAATGGTATTAAAAGCTGCTTAAGAAGTCCAGGAGAACCAACAGTCCTATTCCCAGCAGAGGTCCTCTACCAAGGTGACCAAGGCTGTTTCTGTTCCATAACCAGGTCTGAACCCAGACTGAAATGGATCTACATACCATTTGGATCTAGGTATCATTTGAATTTAAATAGATCTAGATAAATGGATTCTCCAGGAATCCCTGGAGTTGGGATGCCATCATATGCTCTAATACCTTGCCCAAAAATTAAATATTGGAGACTGGCTGGCAATTATCCGATTTAGTGAGATTCAGTGTGGACTTTTTCAGCACAGGTCTCACCATTGCCTGCCTTGCCCAAGGGAGGCATTAGCGCACTACTTTTCTACTTGGCCACTCCCCCTGTGACTGCTTTTATGAGCCAGGAAGGGCACGGGTCTAGAATACATAATGGCTCTCACCTCTCCAAAGATCCTGTCCATATCCTCAAGTGCACAAACTGAAAATTATCCAATGCGAGTGGGCAAAAAGGAGCCAAAGTTACATTCACTTGAACTGTATCACCTATAGCATCCCAGTCAGAACAGATCTGAGCAACTTTGTCGACAAAGTGCTGCCCAAATTATTCACAGCAGATTGTGTAAACATTGCTACTTGCAGTTGTCATTTGAAAGACCCCAACCACCTGAAATAGATTTGAAAAACAGTAGAAACAATAGCAGCAAAAAAGTAATCTTTGCTGCTTCCATTGTCACAGGATAGGCCTTCAAAATGGTTCTAGCTTGAGTTCACTTGGATTCGCTCCAAGTTTTCCATCAATGTCACTCTAGCTGTCATCTCACTTGTTTCACTGCCACCAGCTTGGGGTGGCTCTACTTTGTGAGTGAGGGCACTCGGGAGCAATTGTGTCCACCACCCCGGTCCTTTCTGCATTCCAAAGATCAACCAGGCTTGTCTGCCAAGGAAACAGGAAAATCCTCAAGACCATCAAGAAACCATTTGGATTCATCAGCTTCCTGGAGCATACCATCTTAATTGCCCTTCCACCTCTATAGTCATTCTGAGCACCAGCAAGTCTAAACAGCACCAAGCAGTTACCTGCCCGAGATGACAGAACTGCAGACAGTTCTTCCATTCCCATTGTTATTGCCCCATCCAACACAGAAATCAAGATCCAGAGTTGGTCCAACAATATGAGTGGGGCCAGATACCATCTCAGACAGACCCATGGTTGTCACGGCAGAAAGAAATTCCTGAGCCACTCCCAGAAACTCAGCAAGGATGTTGAAATCCCCTAGCACAATAAGCTAAGGAATCTCCAGCACCAATCCTGAGTCCACACTCAGCTGAGAATGGGAGACTGTGGAGCAGCAGGGTATACCAACAGAATCCCTATTCTTTCTCTGGCACTCACCTTCAAATATATGCCTTCAAATCCAGTAGATTATGCATGTGTGAGGGCAGAGAAGGGCAAAATAAGCAAAGGTGAATTAAAGCACAATTGGCCACCTGAAGTCCTCTGATCCTGCAAAGGAGTACAATCCCATTCAGAACAGGCTACTGAGTGCATTGGCTTCCTGATCAGAAGCACTTTAACCTTGTCTGAAGTTCAACCACATCCAGTCCGTCAGAGCTGCCTGACACCAATGCTGAGCTGACTTGTCAGTTTGCTATGAAGCCTCAGACCTCCACTCATTGTCCCTATGCAGTTTGAGCATTTTTAAAAAAAAAATCCTTAATATGAGGATTTACTGTCAGTCCTCCCCATATATGAAAACTTGACTCATGAATTTTCATCTGATTTCAAGGTATATACTGCTCTCTTGCAGAATAATCTACTGCTCAGGATGCTAATATTATAAGAAAAAATATGTACAATGTTCCTTATTTATCATACCTGCCTTTCTTCTTTCTCTTCCTGAGCAGTTTTAAACACATAAACAGAAGGGAAGTTACCATCAAAAAAAGCTTGGAGCAAGGAAAAGATTGATCTGATGGATACGACCCCTTTTCTTGAGAAATACATCTTCCAAAGTATTTTTTTCTCTTAATTCAAAACATATTTTTTAAAAACTTGGAGGCAATTTTTAAAATCCTATTTTAAATTTGTGTTTTTAAATGACTGGGAAGCTAGCTCTTTTAAATAGCTGGGATGCTGCTCTCCAGCACTATCTTTCTTTGGGTTCAATGTACTCTTTGGGAGTTCAGACTGCCCCTCCCCCATTTCTGCCTTGTTCTTGGGCAGGTTACTTTTCTCCTCATGTCACGAGTTTGCCTTCTGGAAAATCAGTGTTTCATGCCCAGCCATGCCCATTATTTAATTAATGGGCAAGCCCTCCGATTCCATGACAACCATTTTGTGTGAGCACCAACAACATTCAAAATACCAGATGACCCCAATTATCCAAAAGGGTTTGAACAACAAGGGAGAGTCAATCTTAATAATCAAACACCTCAAAGGACACTTTTAGGGAAAGTAGGAATTGTATGTATGTGCTCCACAAACACCCAAAAAAACAACAAAGAAGATCCAGGCAGAGGCTATGTACACCCACACTGAGTCTAGAACTTTACATCTTTTAGTCCAAAGAGACAAGGCATTTCTTTTTTGACCTACTATAGCATACATTTTAATGCAAGTATACAGTTGTCTGTTGGATCATGTAGGAGAGGTGACACAATTAGGCTGTTTATAAAGAATTTTTTTGTCTTCATCAAAATCTTTTGCACTTATTGGTATTTGGATATACCAACTCAAAATGGTCTATGTTGAATAATTCAAAACTAAAGAATTCACTTAAAATAATTATGAATTCTGTACAGATATAAAACAGGGTTTGAATGATACAGACAGAATACACAGTCATATTTACTAATTTTACATAGCTTGCTCTGTTAATTACTAGAAGTAGCTAATATTTACCTATGTACTAGAACTTTGCCCTCCGGTTCTTGAAGCTCATGAATAACCTGTGCTTCAATCATCCTCAAGAAGAAGCAACTTTACACTTAAAGGGGAAGTGAAAGAAGGAAAACCAAGATTCTCAGCGCATGAAGTTATTTGCCCATTCCAAATTCTGTTTTCAAAGAATAATACAGCCTCTGTTCTCAAATTGAGTAAAAAAAATGGGTTTACACAACATTATGTCAAAAGTGAACCCTTATAGAAAGACCCCAAATCAGCAGTTAGTCAAATCAATATAAATCAGTTTTCTTGATTAAAAACAACTTTATTCCAAACATTGCATTTAAACTACAAGAATAAGCACTGCTTTAATAACTGCAGGTACAACATCTCCAGTTACTTGTCTACAAGACATACTTGGTCAAACAATATGATCAGATGAACTATGGGAAATAATACAAGATGCAGACACTCCTTCAGGAAAAAGTAGTTGTGCAGTGAGACTAAATTTTACAACAATCTGCTAAATTCTGAAAGCAATTACTACATAAAATTATTCAATATAGTTTATTTACAATCTCTAAAGTACCAACATGGATTTAGAACACACAAATATAATTGCTATCATTGACTGTCTAATATACCTATAAGGTAATACAATAGAACTAAATTTTGCAAAGCTCTGAATAGCACATTTTTGATTCTCAAACAGGAAATCAATTCAGCACAATACAAGAGAAACCCTGCTGGATCATTCATATAGTTTAGCATCCTCCCATGAGGCAGACACCACTCTGAAGCTTGTAATCTGGCCATGAAGGCAACAGGCCTTCCCCCACTCATCAACTGGTATTCAAAGACAGGTTGCCTCTGAAATTGGACACTCCGTATGCTGCCACAGACAAACCAGACCTCCAGCAAGTTCTGTACTAGCTTTTTAAAGCCACTTGAGTCAGTAGCCATCAGCACAACCTATGACACTGAATTACTTAACAGAAATAAACATAAATCCAAAATGAGTATGTGTTTTCACAAACTGTTTATGTGGCTTATGAAAACTGCAAATGGAAAATGCTTATTTTCTAAACTAGTTTATTAAGTGTGCCCCACAAGTATCATACCCTTCAGTATAAACACTATTAAATACTTACAGAAACTTAATTGAAGTTTACACTGAATTCTCAAATTTAAAAGTGTAAAATTATTGTCTTTCATCAAACTTCAAGAAATCATTACAATTCAAAATTACAAAGCAACCAATGCAATAAGTATATAAAAAAATTAAGAAGCTATGAACTAAATGTTTACTAGTAAAATGTTAGTATTCTTAACAAGTTTATGTTTCATAACATAAACAACAGCTCTAAAGTGTTTTAAGTTTCTCTTTCAATGGATTGTGCTTGTTGTTAAGCTACTGCCTTAAGTCAGTAACACTGCAATCCTATGCACTGAAGGGGACTTCTCCCAAGTAGGCACGTACACAATTGCAGTCTAGGTCAGTTCCTTTGTGTAACTGCTACACTGAGCAGTTCAGACTGAGGCAGAATACCTGGGTATGAAACATTCCCATCCGTTCAGAAGACTTGTCATTAACCCACTATATAATAGTGAACAAAGTATTTTTGTTTCATAGAAACAACTAACATTTGCCCTCATTGGACAAATGGTCTATTTACAGGTACATTGGGGCTGCCTAACTGACAGCGAGTGTAGGTCATTGGTACTCATGGAGCTTAACAGACTGATGATCTCTGCGGAACTGTCTTCCCTTTCAAGATCCGTCTTATCTAAAAAAAACAAAAGAGAAGTGTTAAGGCACTAAGATACAGTCATTCTGACACTTAAAAATATGATGCAGTTTCTATGTACAACTACCAAGATCTGAACCCTACTGGATTTAGTGGAACTACTTCCAACTAGATGTATTTAGGACTTGGTAGCAACCAACGTATGTTAGCAAATGTTACTTCCAGACCAACTCAAAGCAAGTAACAAATACGATTACAGTAATTAGAGAGAGCCGAAACTTTATAACAGTCTTCCCCTACCTGGTGGCCTTCAGATGCATTTGGACCACAACTCCCAGCATCCTATCCAGCAGGGCCATTGACAGGGAATTCTGGGTGTTGCAGTCCAAATATGTCTGGAAGGTACAAGTTATGTATGTATGTATTTGAAACACTTGTATGCTGCCCAAGGTACATGTGTTTGTTTGAAATTTGTATGCTGCCCAATTGTGCCACAGCAACTCTGGGCAATTCACAACCACAAGATAAAACAAGGTTGGGCAAGTCTGCTTTATAATCCTAAAGCAAGCACACCCTTATAAAGGGGCCCAGTTTTCAAAAATAAGTAATTGCAGACACAATGCCATTCTTTTTTTTTTTTTTCTACAAAAAGGTATGTGAACTGAACAGAGAGTGTTTCCCTATTACATTGTGGTTGCATTAACAGTGGTGCTACAAGTAAGAAGAAAGTGGCCAAAGAAAGCAATAATATTAGCATTGCTAGTTGGTTTCCATAAATATTAATGATACATCTGTTTTTCAATTTCGTAGTTAATATAGGAAATGGAGACCTACTGGTACTCCTTCTACAGAATGAAAGACATAGGGTGGGGTGGAGGAAGATGAGACTTTTTCTCACTCCACGTTTAAAACAAGAGCTCAAATATTTTAGATTTCTTACTTCAACTCCTACAGGGCCATCAGGAACCAGGTGAACTGGCTGCTCATTTTCCAAATTCCTGGCACTTGGATCAGCCCCCTTTCGCATAAGCAACCGAACTGCATCCAGCTGAGTCACCCGATGCTGCAAGCTGGCGGCTACATGGAGTGCAGTGTTACCGTTGTAAGCCTAGGCAAGGCAAGATAGAAACACCGTTATTTTTCAAAAGGAGGACATCATGATTCTTCTCTTGGAAGGAGGCAAACTCTGAACTAGACCCCATGCTTTATGCTATTGTATTTACATACCTTGGCATTGATAAAAGAGAGGCACGTTGGGAGCTCTAAAAACAGACGGAGTAGTTCCACATTTGCTTCTTCAGCTGCCAAGTGAAGGGCTGAACGGCCACTTTTACGATCCTATCCACATAGGAAAAGCTCAGTTAATTTTTCACAATGAACATTTAATCACTGCAAGAATATACAAACTCAATCATTTTATTTGAAAACATTAAATGCTCCATATAATTGCATATGCACAGAAAGCTAGTAGGCATAACCACCTATTTTAGATGAAAGAGGAGCCTGGGAGAAAGTAACTTCTAGAGCTACTTTATAACTATTCTAGGATTACTCAATAATTCAAGGCTGGAGTGTGATTCAAAGTACTGAACCTAGATCTCCCCTGTCCAAATCAGTGTTATCAGTTTGAACACAATGGCTCTGAAACAATTAAAGCAAAAGGAATTCAAGCTGTAATTCTTAAGAAAACCTCACATTCATTCTACTGCTACATTTATAAATGTTCGCACAATCCAGCAAGAGTCATCCATGACTAAGTCCCAAAGAAATTAATAGGCTACAGCATGATCGGTATGTTTACTCAGACATCTCACTGATTTCAGTTTGGGTTACTTCTAAGTAAATAGGCTTAGCATTGCCACCTCAGTTGTTGGGATTTAATCATGACTAACTTTTGCTGGATTGGGCCCAACACACTGAATTCTATGAAGGTAAAATCAAAGATTTGAAGCATTTTTAAAAGATGCCGTATACACCTTTACTTGATACAAACAAATATGCTCACTTGATATTAATGTTGCAATGATTGTTTGTCCAAGTAAAAAGGTGCAAGCTGAAGATACAGGAACAAGAAAAAAACTGCAGTGCCTGTACATACTTATTCACAATTATGAATATTGTCTTTAGTGAGACTACTTTAGTGAGTAAGGTAGATATTACTGCTACCTTACAGGACAACCCAAAGTCACTAGGACAGTTCTCAAATGAGTCTTGTGTTCTTTAGTTAAAACACACACATTCATAAAGTGGCTATTGCCAAGGAATTAAAGGAATCTGCAATTTTATTTATTTAATGCAATATAAGCTTCATTTGAAGAACACATATACTTCAGAGGCTGGATCCAGCTTTACACTGCATCAAGCTGTCTTGATAGAAGTGGAATACCCTGCCTTCTCCTTACCCCGCTAGTCCTTTCAATCCCCAGAAAATGTTACATGTCATTACATAATCAAGCCAGTACATAAATGGAGTGAGTTGTTTCATAGAGGCCTAGGGAAGCCCCCAAAATTGCATAGGGGACCTTCTGTGAAGGAAGATAATCCTCTTGTAGCTCCAGGATAAAACCCCAGATTTTAGCTTAGGCTAATAACAGCCAATTTTATAATACATCTGCATATGTATTCAATCACCTACTTACAATCATTAAAATGTGCAAGGGAAAAACAGTATCATTTGTGGACAGATCCATGTACTGAAACTTAGACAGCATTCATCACTTTTGATGAGATGAATGGGATAGCATTTTATATATTATGTTTTGTTCTCCAGCTCTGCAGATGTGAAAGTAATTCATACATCTACCATCAGCTACAAAATTTGTAGATGTATGAATTCAACTCATAGAATGTAAGTTCGTATGTATTTGTGTAGCTGTTTTTATATTTTCTTGTGTTACTTACTCTGGCTTCAACAGAGGCCCCCATCTGGATAAGGTATTTGATTGTGTCTGCCAACCTCTTGCTTTTCAACCTTAGTTCCTGGACCTCGGGAGTATGGGGAGACTGCTGTCTTTGCAAGTCATGCACTACTGCATTATGGACCACAACTGCACAGTGCAGTGCTGTCAGACCTAAAATGAAATACATCAGTGAGCAAAACAAAACTTGTTTTGACCATCTAATTATTCCAATGATCAACTTGGAAACACTAGTTATTCTGATACTAGTCTCCAGATTTCAGCTGGTTTTTGCTTGCAATGCAACCCTTTAAGCTGTTAATCTGTTTAAAAACCCTTTAACTTGTTCTTTTGAAGTTGCTTGGCATCTCAGTGATGGAAAATTAACCATACATTGTGTTTTCCACCTAAGTTTGTATTTTTCTAAAATAAACCTTTCAATTTATAGAACCTCTAATTTCAATATAGTTCTGATTTATATCCAGATACAACTAGCACTAAGAGCTTGAGAAACATAAGTTCTCAGCAGTTTTACTAGTTGATTATAATTTCTGTTGTTTATATTTGCTCTCCTAACAGTGGAAACACAAGGTTTGTTTTTCTGCTTGTTTTTTATTCTTATTATTGTTTTGTTCTGACCTAAATTACTTAGGATACTAATCCTGCAAGCAATATAGCCAGCTGCCTTGAACTTTCAGTACAGTAGATCAAGTTCTGATTTATATTTTGATGAACTACAGAGTATTTCGTATCAGATAACAAATGAGCCAGTACAAGCTGAACGTGCTTTAAAAAACTGTGATCAGCTTGCCCTGTTCCAAATGTAAGTTCATTTTGTTGGTGGTGTTATTTAAAAGTGGATGTCCTTCATAACAGTACAGCATTTCTATTAAGCATCAGATCATATGAAAGGTCTAAGAACCAGCATATCCTAATTAGGCTTTTTGCATATCCTAACACAGAATGATTACTAGTTACTCACCTTCATAATTAGTTGCCTCCAAATCTACATACTGATTGCTTACAATGACTCCTTTATGGATTGCCTACAGAAGAGAAATGAGCAAATGTTCATGACACCCAGCTCTATACAAGAGTAACTGCAACCAAAATGCTGCTGATAAAATGACTTCTCCACAGAGGTGAACCATAAAGAAGCTACTTTTTAAGGTGTCCTAAGAACTCAAGATTATTCATTCTGTGAAACCACTTCTTTGTTAAAATCATGGTAATACAATTTAACTGCTTCAATGCTTTTATTAGTTCAGTTTTCTAGGAATGGGGTTAGTCTGAGATACAGGATCCACACCAAATTGTCACTCACCCCATTACTTAAAGGGGTACCCTGCTAAGTGGCAAGGGTGGGGGAGGGGGGAATTAGCTGCTCTGTGTTTTCATTTGGGTATATAAATTGACATGGGCCACACGTCATTTATATATAACCAACTACTAGCTCCTGAACAGGGAGATACAGCGCTGTTAGCACTGTAGTCCTAAGTACTGTAAGGAACACTGAAATTGAGTTATGATAGTATTTGGGATGTTTCATCTCCAATAACCAGTTTCAGCATATACCACTACATGCTAGTACCTCAGGAGAAAGGCGAAACAAATGGCTAAGGAATTCACTCAGAACTCTCACCTGAAGGACTTGTGCGTGGCCTTTTTCAGCACACACATGTAATGGTGTTCTACCCCAGCAATCTGTGGTATTTACTTGTGCACCAAGGCTAACCAGGTCTTGTACAATAAGATGCTGATTTGCCGCCACAGCCACCTGCAGAGCACTCTGTAATAATGAAAAGCAGATGCGTTATTACCCAACTTTTACCAGGAAACTGAAATACACAGCAACCTAATCAGGCACAGCCATTTCAGAGTTCCTTTCTTTCCAGGCTTCAATTTAGCCTGCGGACTTCAGTAGCAGCGCCCGGTAACTTATTACCCTGCATGCTAACCTTCAGAGTTAATATTAACAGGCATTCCTGGATGGTTTGTGTATGTCCTGGAAATGCACAGTATTCAAGGGCAAACAGCAGTTGAAAGTATCACCTGGCCATTGTGTTCTTTAATATCCAGCATGTGCAGAGTCGCCATCTTCCTTGCCAACACATAGGAAATGGCTCGTCGTCCCTGGGCAACTGCAATATGGAGAAACCTGCAGGGAATAAACAATGTATGTTTTCTTTTTAATAACTTAATTTGAAAATGTTGTAACTCCCCCATAATAAAACAAACCAAAAAAATGAACACCAACCCAAAACCAACTCAAGGAACTTGCAAATCGCAAGTACTACCATATGTAGTTACATCTTCCAGTGTACTCGTCTGTTTTATCATACCTAATATGCAGTCAAGTCTACACAACAAAAACTTTTAATTCATTATTGTGTTCTCCATTCAACAGAATGAATGACATTCTCCAGGGGCATACACTAAGAATGAGAACTCAATCACACTACTGATACAACACCTCCATTCGAGAACCAATTAACGTGTGAACAATACTCACGTGTCACCATCAGAGTCTTTGGCAAGGATTTGATCTTGAGAGATGTTGGCCAGTTTGTTTTCTTCCTGCTCCACTTGCCACTGGAAAAATGATTTGCCCAGCTGCGCCATGTTTGTGGCAATACCCTGATGTTGCACAGAGATATTTGAAGTAGCCAGTGGTAAACCATGATCTTCAAGGCTACTGCAGATATTACTAGGCAGCTGACTGAAATTCTGAGGCTGGCTACTGACATCGGTTTGCTGGTGACCACCAGGCAGGGGTTGGGAGAGAGGAGTAGCAATGTCATCTGGTCTTTCTGAATCACTTAAGAGTGAAGCAAAGCTCTGAGCATTGCAATACTGCAGATCCTGGCTTTCAAAAACGTTTTGCTGATATTCAGACGACTGGCTGCTTGCAGACTGTGGCCTATATTCCAGAAGTGAATTCTGACTGTAATGCTGTGACAAGTCCTGAGGCTGTGTGGAAGAAAACTCGTAATTCTGGGGCAATTCCAGCATTTGTGAGGGGCTGCTTCCTTGAAATGCTTGGTACTTTTGAGAAGGCGAGAAAGCCTGTGTGCCAGCAACCTCCGGATAGTGTTCCCTTGGAGAATTAGGATTAGCCATGCTGTGAAGCCAGCTAACTTGCACTGTGTTCAGAGAAACTGGACTTGATTCATTCTTAATATTGATAATGTTCTGCAGCATATCACAACAGCTATCTTGTTTGGGCTCGTTCATATACGCATCTTCCATGTTATCCATTGATGTTGGTGTCTGTGGAGGTGTCTGCAAGATAAAATGTGCATGTTTTGAAACCAAAATGTTTACATCCTGCCACATAAGGCAACTGAAATAAGTGTATTTCAAAGTCAGCAATAACCATAAAAATATCTACCAAGAGATGAGGTTGGAAAGTAGCTGTTTTTTTGTAACTGGGTCCATCAGAGAGAGATTCATGAGATTTTCTTTTCCGACTATGATTTAATATGTTTTTCAGCTCTATTGGAAAAAAAAGAAAATTTGCTAAATTTCCATAGCACATCACTTTTCAAGCATTTTAAAATCTCATATATATATATATATATATATGGGGGGAATAAAAAACTGTACCTGTATATGGGTCATAATTTAGCAATCCTCCCTGTGCCTATAAAAAAAAAAAAGTTCAAGTTATTTATAATATAATAAAATCACTACCTCAACATGTTAAATCACCTGTGAGGACAGGAGGAACTAGTTACTTCTTCTAATGGTAATATAAATTAAGCATAGGGTTTTAGAACTAAATAGACAAACAAAAAACCTAGTACGCCCTGCAAACTTCTAGAAGCTTTCTTGAAAAATGTATCGGTTAACTCCATTACAGATTTTTCAACCTATTTTTCTGCATCATCCAAACAAAACCAAGCAAACTTGCTGGGATTTCCAACTTGCTATATTTTACTATCCTTTTTCAGCAGAATTGCCCTTATTACCATAACTACTTATTTGCCAACAGAGGGAAATTATATTAATGTGTTCATACAAGCTGTTAATTTTAAAAACTACAGCACTACCAACTGTGTAAGATCATACAGAGTGACAGCAGTGCAGGCTAGACAATGGAAATGTTATATCCTTACAGAAAGATATACCTGTACAAAATCTTTAAGAAACAATTTGCAACTTCCTCCCAAGCGTTTCTATACTAACAGCAAACTCATTTTCAGAATGCAGATATATATGTAATGAAAACAGCACCATTCACACACACAAGGGAGATATCCAGTGGCCTGGGGTAAAACCCCAAGATTTGCAGAGGAAATTCCCTGCAAGGTTAGGGAACCCCAAATAGTCCCAGTGAGGACTGAGCATGCTAGGTGACTACAGAATGCTGAGTGCCTACTGGCAGGGGATAGAAAACTGAACGTAGAGTAACAAACTGGGGGCTTCTGGAAAAGAGCACAACTGTTTGACCAGAACTTCTGAACATATTTTATAAAACTGTAAAGGCTCAGCCCTTCACTTTTAGATTTAAAAAAACAGAATGGCTGAAACTTGCAAAGATAAGAATTACTTTTTCAGAGCAGGTTATGCTCTTTCAGGTAAAAAAAATCAGCCACCAACACTGATTAGACAGATGAGCTGAGCAGCTTGGTAGCATTATATCCCCAGAATCTGTCAAGCAATCTTACTGCCTTCAGATTAAGAAGGTTCCATTTTAACTCTTATCTATTGCTAAATCTACAGTCAACGCATCTGTCTATTCCTTCTCCCAAAGCTAGGAGAGCTAGTCACCATTCCCACATTTCACTGTAATGAATGCCAGATCTTAACTATACCCGATATATAGTTGTATGACTGATATTCCAAAGAAGAGTCATTAAACCATTTTTTACTCTGAAAGAAAAATAATTAATAACTCTCACCTTTAATTCATCTGTGCTATGATCAGAGGACATCTGTTTACTGTTTCTAAGGTGCAACAATAGTTCTTTCACAGAGTTTTTCACACGAACACCTTGGAAAGGTCCTCTTTGTTGCTTTCCTCCCCCCATATGTTGCTCAACTCCTGAAACAAATTAAACAAAAAACAAAATCAAACACTGACATAATCCATTAAATAAAGCATTATGTTAAAAAACATATAATTTGCACAGAATTTTAGCCAAAAACTTACTAAATTAATATACTGTCTTTCCACTAAAATTAGCTCTCATTGTGACTAACAATATAATAAAGATAAGATAATAATGAAGTTATAATTAAAACATTAACATTTGAGAAGAGTTAATTATTATAGTTAAATTCTTTGGGTGACGTGCAAATTACATGGAAGTTCATTATCAAATATCCAAAAGAAAAGTATATTTTTCTCACAAACCTCTATCCAGGCCCCTCTCTTTTTCATTTTTAAGCAAAATGACTGAAGAAATGCCAATCCCATATAAGATATATCATTAACATGACTTTTATGTAAACGAGTTTTCAGAATTATCTATGTTTCTTACTTCCATAGCTTGTCAAAAATAAGAAAATGTTCAATCACAGAGATCAACTACTAATACTACATTTATTCTCTTATGCCATCATCTCTTTAAACTCAACCTATTTTAATGGTTAAAAACAGAAGTGAAAAGAGGAAATAGCAATTCATGACAGTCTGACAGAGAAGTTGTGACTTCATTTTAAAAAGTACAAAAAAGTCAAGTCTTATAGCTTGATCTGCAGTGATTCTAACAAAATCATTTAAAAAAGAAAAGAAAATCAGTTCCCACTGAGCTGGAATTTCTGCCTAAGAAAAAAAATTCCCAATTTCCTCTCAATATTTTTTAACGGCATACCAAAAAGAACGCCTACCCAAAGAAACCATTATCTTGAATTAAATTGCTTTGGAAGATACAATTTAAGAGAACAAATTCTGCTACAAAGTGACACAATCTGTAAATGTTTCCCTGAATAAAACCTAGGTAGTTGATCAAACAAACAAACAAACAATCTGCCTGCTCACAGACAAGGATTAATAAAATATTATAAGCAAACTTTAAAAAATATGCAAGCTAATGTCATATTAGAAACTTAGGACAATAGCAGCTACCTTATTAAATATCTAATTGGTCAAAGAAATGACTTACTACACATCCTTAATATTATGAAGATACTCTACAGATATAATTCCTGATTGAACAGGAGTCATTTTTTGTAATCCACTCCTTGAGACTAATTTAACTGTGGAATATAAATTGAATGAATATCAAATAATGACTCAATGACATCAACAAAATTCTCACTATCTTCAAATATAAACAATATTCTAGCTTGTAGAAACAATTGTGTAAGATAATTCAACATGAAAGCATTGTAGAAAGTTAGTTCATTCTGTACGGTAAAGAGCACCCATAAAGTTTCCAGAAGTAACTAAGACTTCTCAGTTGTATACTATTTTAATGACAGCAGGCACATAAAAATAGGAATAATCTCTGCTACAGTATCACTCTCTATCTTGGACTTTTTTACATTTTGAAATAAAAAAGATTGTTTAAATAGCTTTGTGTACTTCTCAAAATTTGGTATCAGCAGCTTTAGCCATGTTGACTCCATAAAAGACCCAAAGGATAGTTAAAGAGAAATGTTACTGCTGGTTGACATCATTAGCATGTTGATACAAATATTTTCCATGTTCACTCATTGCATAAAATACTACCCCCCTAATTCATTTTCTCCAATTGTAACAAAAATGTATAAATCCTCTGTAAATTGAACAGGCAGTATTCTTCCCAAATTAACTTGCACAGCATTATTTGCTTGCTCACAAATAACTCACACCCAAGCACCAGTAAAAGTTGAAGTTCCACTAAAATTTACAGAATACTGAATGCATGCAGAGGATGGACAGGATGCCCCTGAAGTTACTTGAAACTTATATTAAATTGATACTGCTGTGATATCCTTCTGCTTATATGCTGTCAAACTTCAGCTACCACTCAACACTAATTGATAGCTGATGAGGTCTAAATTAACTTAAGATGCTGTGGCTGGACCCCCCCCCCCCGTTGCTGCTGCACACCTCGGAAAAGAAACACACTCACTTCCACAATATTCAAACAGCCTTTCAGATACCACAGCCAAAAGCAGCGTTGCCTTTTGAAACAGGAAACTGAAAGTGGCTTTGAAAATATGCCATTCACAGTGAAGGTCCACAGAATTTATTACACAGAGTGATCCTCACTGTGCAGTCCAGGTTTTCTATGTAATGTTTGGCTTACGCGCAGTTCAAGTAATGGCCCTTTCCCACATTATTCAAGCAGTCTTCCAGTATGTTTAGACATAATGAAATACATGTGCGAGCCCATCACAAGCACAAACAAGCACAAGTTTCGATGCTTGTTTTCAACACTGAAGCACTTTCTACATAGGCTACGCATCATACGAAGTGATTTCTTCACACCACCGAAAAGCAACCCTGCTTTAACATGGCGATCTGGAACAGGCACTTTAGGATGTGCGGTTGCACGTATGGCAGTCGGGCCAGCCCCGCCATTTCAGGCAGCGGTTGTTGCTGCGAGGGCCGGGAAGCGCAGCGAGGCGCTGGGGAGCAGAGCCGAATGTGCCGTGCTCAGGTTGCCCGGACGGCACAAGTGCAGTGAAGCAAGCCCCAACTGTCCGATCAGTCGCCTTGGGAAGTGGCTGGCCCATTTACTCCCAGCCCAGCCAACACAATGTCTACGCTGGCCTTGACAGGCAGCTCCACTCGAACAGGAACTTGTGTGTTGCTAGTGTGTTATTAAGTGCCTGCTCAAAAACAAGGGCAAAGTGAAGCCTAAGCTGGGTCAGTCAGCGGGAGCCTCCTGCAGGAGTCTAGGAACTTCCAGAGCCATTTCTCTGATAAATCCCAAGGCCTCTCCTTTCCTGGAGCGCATCCAGGCGACCAAAACGAGCCAGGAGTGCGCAAGCAGCAGCTGGCTTCTCTGCATCGCCCTTCGCCGAAATGATAACGAAGACTATAATTTGCACGGGACGGACGGACGGGCACACGCAACGCAAAATGCACACAGATGCGCAGAGTTTAGGAACTAAAGACGGCGCCAGACTGCTAAGCCGAACGGGCTAGAATTCCTCCTCGAAACACCGCGCTGGCCCGCTGAAATCCCTCCGCCCAAGACTTGCTCGGACGCCGTGCCGAATGCAAGATGTGTGTACCTTCCCCGGTCGCGCGCGCGCCGCCCCGGGAGCCGCGCTTCTTGCTGCCGCCGCCCCGGCCATTGCTCGACGGCTCCGAATCAGATCCCGGGGATCCTGGGGCGGAATGTGTGGGCGAGCAGCTGCCCTCGCTGGAGTGCGGGGATGCCCCGTAGAAAAAAGCCAAATTAAAGGGGCTGCTCATAGACCCACACTCGCCATCCAGCTGCGCGTCACGGCTATTGTCCACGATCATGGCTGGGGTCGGCACCTGAGCCAGCGAGGAGCTCCAGCACAGCGGACTGGGGACGAGAGCGGGTTCGGGAGGCAGAAGCGGGCGCGGCAGCTCTTATAGTGCCTCCACGCCTGGTAACGTGGAGGGGGGAAGAGGGGGCAGGGCAGGGCAGGGCAAGGCGGGGCAGGGCAAAGCACAGCAGAGCCTTGAGCGGCGGCGGGTCGAGGGAGGCGGGGTGAAGCGCGTCCGCCAGAGCCACTGCCAGTAAATGCACCGCGCAGGGCTTGTCAACAACCGCTTTCGGCTCGCTGGTGCCTGGGTGCTGGGCTCCTTGCTTGGAGGAGCAACCAACAGCCCTCGCCCTGGCGCGCACAGGCGGCCGAAGAGCTTCTGAGCACCTGCTGGCAGCACTTTTGCGAGGGGGTGGTTCCTGGGTAGCCCCCAGCTTGCGGAGGGGACGGATATTACTAACTAAGGTGGCCAGGAAAAACTCCACTGGAACTGAATTCCTGGATCAGGCTGTGTACCCGGTATTGACACTACTGTTCTGACTTGTAGTGCCTGGGCTCAAACTGTGGGTTCAATCCCACCAAGGGACTGAATGTGGATCAAGAGTGGATTATTGGTGAGCTGGAGGCTCCTGTCAAAAACCAACCAAGATAACAAACCACGGTGAACTACCCACAGTTCACAACCCAACAACAAACCATGTGCTCTTTTCATGGGTTGCTCATGGTTAACTATTCATGCAGCAGGATTCAGACAGTTTGATAATCCACATTCAACCCTGGAATGAGGCTTATTGGGTTGTGTGGCTCCTGGGGGCATCAGTCACTGAGTCTTCTGAAGCAGAGGCTGATTCCTGCATAGAAGCATAACTCCATCTACTTTTCTACAGCCCTACCCCTATACCTACTGTGTTTGTTTATATAATTCAGGTCAAGAGGGCTCTTTTTCTGTCCAAGCAATGGCATCCACTGGAGCGTTCCCTCAGTCCCAGGGCAGTTTGGTCGCCATGATTGCACTGATTTTTACTGATTTTACTGTGTGGCATTGCCAGCTCAGAATGTTTTTCTGCCTGAAGAGCAAATGGCCTCTGTCCACCCCACCACCTTCTGTGCACCTTCTAGATGCAAATAACTCAAGACCGCAAAAGTTTTTCTGGCACCTGAGCCAAAAATCCCAGGAGCAGCTTTCCCTGGGAATAGTAGTACTACTACAACAGTACACTAAGGGTGCAAACCTATGCATAGGTGACAGGGTGCTTCTACCAAGAGCAAGCTACCTGGACACTATGCTCAAAATCCAGGGCCTTCTTTCAAGTTTCAACTCAGAGGGCAGCAGCAAGAATGAGATGGCTTTCTCTGCAGTGGCTTCCTATCTAAGGAAGGACCTATTCACTGAAGCATACATGGTGCCAACCTTTTCAGCACCAGGTTAAGACAGCCCTTACATCAAGCCTTTTAAGGATATACCTGGATAGAATCATAGAACAGCAAAGTTGGAAAGGGCCAGATGGTCCAACACCATGCTGACTCTAACTTAAACCATCCCACTCAGATAGCCAGCCAATTGCATTGTGAACATCTCTAGTCTGGGAGAGCCCACAACCTCCCCAGGTAATTGATTCCTTTGTCATACTGCTGTTAAGACTCAGGAAGTTTTTTCTGATGTTCAGCCAGAACCTGGCTTCCTCTAATTTGAGCCCATTATTCTGTGTCCTACATTAAGGGAAGATAGTGAAAAGAGAAAAGAAAACTATGAAAAGAGAACTTGCCCTTCCGCTGTATGACAACCTTTCAAGTACTTGAAGAGTGCTATCAATTCTCTCAGTCTCTGGAGGCTAAACATTCTCAGTTCTTTCAATCTCTCTCATAGGGCTTAGTTCTCATTCCCTGGATCATCCTCGTTGTCCTCTTCTGAACCCTTTCCAGTTTGTCTGCAACTTTCTTAAAGTGTGGTACTGGACTTAGCCCAGATGAGGCTTAACCACTACTGAGTAAAGGGGAACTAGTACTTCATGTGATCTGGAAGTGATATTTCTATTAATGCAGGCTAAAGGAGCATCCCCCCCCCTTTTTTTTTTGTAGCCACAGCAATTCTAAGAACATTCTCACTTTCAGCATTGTTGAGCCAAGTATCGCCCATCTTATAACTATATGTTGGTTTTCTTTTTCCTAGGTGCAGAACTTGACATTCATCCCTACCAAATTTCATTCTGCTGTTTTCAGCAGAGCACTTCAACCTATCAAGATCACCTTGAATCTTGTTTCTGTCTTCCAGGGTATTAGACACCAGCTTGGTGTCATCTGCACCTCCTCATCCAAATCATTCATAAAATGTTGAAAACCACTGGGCCCAAGACTGAACCCTATAGTAACCCACCTGTTACCATTCCCCAGTCTGAGAAGGTACCATTGATGAGCACTCTTTGAGTCCGATTTTGTAGCCAACTGTGGATCCACCAGATGGTTGTTCCATCTAACCTACTTTTAGCTAGTTGACTGATCAGGATATCATGGGACATCTTGTCAAAAGCTTTGCTGAGATCAAGATATAATCTGGGATTGAGGGAATTCCCCATATTCAAGAGACTGGGCAATATCCAAGGGACTTACCCATTGCAGCATCTTTCTCAATGCATTCTTTTCACCCTTCTTTTCTGTAAATGTTTTTATATTTTTGATCAGATTTTATGGAATTTTATTTTATTATTTTTATGCACTATCAGTTTAAAAATTAAACAACAAATGATGATAGATAGCCTTCCCCATCCAGTCATTCCATGCTAGCTGAGGTATGTTGAGTCTCAGGACTTCTTCTGCATCAATAAGCATAGGTTTGCAACCTTTAAAACTAACAATTTGCTGCCTTTTCTTGGCATCCAAAAATGACTGCCTCACTCTGCCTAAAGATAAAGCTGGCTCTGGAGAGCATTAGTAAAATAAACTCAGATAACTAACCTGGACCTTTTCTCTGGGGTCTGAAAGCCCACCTCTGGATACTTTGGCCATCTCTGGAACATCTCTTTTCAATAGCTCAGCCCCAGTTGGCTCTTGTTTTCAGTGCTACACCTCAACCAGAGAATATACAAAGCAAGTTTAAAAGAGCTTCTAGAACATGTGCAGAGTACCCAGCATAAAATTGCTTGAAGGCAAGACACAGTGGAGAAGATAATTATGTTAGGGAAAGTTGAGGACAGAAGGTGAAAGGGAAGACCAATTATGAGATGAATTGGCTCCATAAAGGAAGCCACAGCCTTGAACGTGGAAGAGCTGAATGGAGCTGCCATGAGAGGGCGTTTTGAAGAACTTTAATACATAAGGTTGCCATAAGTTGGAGATGACTTCATAGTACATAACACAATATTTCCAGAGAAGAAATAGTCATTCTAATCTAGACATAAGGGAGTGATTTAAAAGGAGTCCCAAGTCATATGCTATGATTTCTGAAAAGCCCCAACATTTCTCACTTTAAAAATTCAGCAGTGCCAATGGATACAATTTCAATATGCATGAAGAAAACTTGATTGATTTTCAACAAGCAACTGTTAAGAGACAGAGAGACTAGGTGGTGGTGGTGGTAATGGTAGAAATCTTATTGGTAAATAGAAGACCAACTTTATGTGTGGAAGTTGCAAATTTTTGTTCTCATCAACCTAAAAAGCAGAGACATCACCCTTCCAACAAAAGTGCATATAATCAAGGCTATGGTTTTCCCAGTTGCAATGTATGGCTGCGAAAGTTGGACCATAAGGAAGGCTTAGCACCGAAGAACTGAGGCCTTTGAATTGTGGTGCTGGAGAAGACTCCTGCGAGTCCCTTGGACTGCAAGGTGATCAAACCAGTCAGTCCTAGAGGAGATCAACCCTGACTGCTCCTTAGAAGGCCAGATACTGAAGATGCAACTCAAATACTTTGGCCACCTAATGAGAAGGAAGGACTCCCTGGAGAAGAACCTAATGCTGGGAACAATAGATGGCAAAAGGAGAAGGGGACGGCAGAGGATGAGGTGGTTAGATGGAGTCACTGAGGCAGTCAGCGTGAGCTTAAGTGGACTCCGGGGGATGGTGGAGGATAGGAGAGCCTGGAGGAATGTTGTCCATGGGGTCGCGATGGGTCTGACACGACTTCATGACTAGCAACAAAAGATGACTGGAAAGTTTGAAAACTGATTCAGACATTCAGAAAATATATGTCCCATAGGCCTTCGAGTTGTCAGTCCAAATGAGAATACATACTAGGGATTACTTGCTAGAAAAGATCCTCTATATTAAGAACAAAATCCCTTTGCATGTAAACATCTAAATCAACATCAGGAAAAAACAAGGAGCTTTATAAAATCTTTAAAAGTCACACATTTCATCTGTTACTCCATAATAAATATGTAACTCTTTAAATTGCCAGAAGACTCTGTTGTGTTAGCTGAAACAGACAAATGTGACTACCATTCTAGAAACTAAGGGAACAACAAAACTAAAAATCTCCCTGGCATGATTGCTTTTCAACTGCAGGAAATATTATCTAAAAAAGCAAAACAAAACACAGGGAGTGTTTTTCAAGAATCAACTCTCTTTTATGCATTCCAATATGTTAGAGTCATGGAGAAGGTTCTAGTTAAAAAAAAAAAAAAAACCTGGGTTAAGGGAACAACCAAAAACAAGAATTTCTGCTGAACCCCCCCCCCACCCTTATCCACCCTAGTCTGTTCCAGATAAAAAGTGACTCAAATAGTAAAGAAGACACATGGAAACTCTTTCAGCCGAAGGAGCAG